CGTATAACTCGCGCCGCAGTTGAAGCTCCTCTTGCTGCTCCTTAAACGAGTAGACTTTACTTTCTCTCTTCATATTCATAGAACTGAGAATATCGTTCTCGTCGTTAACAGGCAATACGCTCTTATCGTAGAGCTCTCCCTCGGGAGTGAGATACGTGAAATATTCGTCCTTGGTAACTCGTAGGATCTCCGGATCGTCAAGCTTACTTGTCACGTTTGATACTAGCGCGGGTAGAAAAGCGTCCGGTGCGAGGGACACGATTTTTATAAGCGCATTTTCATAGCTCGGCACCGGTTTATAATTCTGGATTAACATCTTCCTCACCTCGTTGCTGTAGGTACGTAAGAAATCCTTTGGTACGAGATTGTAGTTCTTGGCGATCTTGAACCATAAGTTTGGCACGGCTTTGAGCAGCGCCGGATGATGAGATGGAAGCAGAGCATCTCTGGTCATTTGAAAGGTATGTGCTTCGAATAAGAAGGAACCTGAACATATGGCGAATAATCCATCGGCGAGACACCTGCCAGTAATCTCTCCCATTGAGGTTTCTTCTTTATTCTCTTTATCCGATTCCGACTTGATCTTAACATTTTCTAAAAATTTGTTGAATTCCGTTAACAATGCCTGCGCCGGCCCGTACGTACTCAAACCGGTCACGATTTTCTTGACCAACGGGAAACACCGTTGTCTCGTCACAGAATTTGGGGCAGTGGCGCAAGACACGATTGCTCGATGAATCCCAGTTAGAGCTTTCTCGTTCAGTTTGTCGGAAAATTCAGTGATAAGACGTTCGCAGAGTAACATAAGATGGTACAAAATATCGTCGCTACAGGTCGATAGAAATTTTTCGGAAAAGAATATTTGCTCGTCTATCGCGTTCCACAGCACGCTCTGCTTGTCATTCTCCACTTGGTCAGCTAAGACGAATTTCAGCAGCAAATACGAAGCGACCAGGCCTTCGGTTACCGCTGTTGGTTGCGCGCATTGCTGCGTAGCTCTGGTTATCGCCTGCGCGAGGATCGGTGCTATTATTCCCGAGTACGAGGCGGCGGGAATCGAGAAGAACAGCTTAATGTAAGCGGTACGCACTGCGGCGGTCGACGTTTTCGCCGCCATACCTTTCTTGAAGGCGTCGACGACGATTTTTGGTACATTAGACGAGAATTTCCTGGACCACAGTGCCATCATTTCGAGAGCGTGTATCAGCGTCTTCTCGTGGACCTCGGTCTCGAGCACCTTGACGAAATGCTCGCAGGCCGTCTCGGCTAATTTCTGCACGCTATTGCCCGAAGCCACGTTGTAGCTGAGATTGCCGGCACCTTGCAGCACAGAGATCTTATGAGTCGCGACCGTGAGTTTGCCCTCCGATCCGTGAAACACCGCGAATACGGATGACAGCAACATTTCCAAAGCCGTCGTATCGGAGCATTGTAGAGCGAGTTTGCGGCACGCCTCAACCGCCTCATCCCGCACCAAATCCTCCTTAGAATGTAGATTGGCAAATAATCCTTTACTTATCTCTTGGCTATATTGGCTCAGGTCGAGATTCAACCCGTTTAAAATGTGACCGACTGATTCGATTATAATCTCTGGATTTCGCAACATAGCTTTTTGTAAAGCGGGAAGTAATTGAGTTTTGAATTCCTCATGAGTCAATCTCCGAAGAAGTGGCACAGCTGCATCAACTACGTACAAATCCGGTTTCTTCTTACAGCTAATCGTCGCTTTTATAAAAATGTCTATCATATTTGCCTGAAATTTACAAAAATACACATACATAAATACACATATAGATATTTGTACATATATTACATTTAGAAATTATAATGTGCTACTCTTATCTCGCTCACCTTCAATTGTTCCACCAAATCATCTCTTTTCGTCGCAACTAAATATCTCATAAGTAAACTGGCCAGAATAATTATACCGTTTCCAAGCTCCAATTTTGTTAAATGTCCGACATAAGTCTCTATGTTTGCAATAGCGACCCATTCATGCGCGAGCAACGTATACACCTTGTTGGCAAGTTTCTTATCTGCGGACGCTAAAGCCGCAGCAGATAAATTTGCCTGTGCCTCAATGAGCTTTCCTAAAGATTCATCCATTTGAGTTATATGACGTTCGTTATATCCATGGAAAATAAGTAAAGTTGACCACTTCAATGCGATATACGCGGTTAAAGCAGTGTTCAAGCTACAAAAAAAAGCATTGTTAGAAAAATGTTATTTATACGTAAATAGCTAAAGTATAGAAAATTAATTCCAGATTCGACCTACGTCGCAACCACATTTTTATGCCAGGTAGCTTGCTCTGAAATTACAGTTGTCATATGTTTGATGGTAGCCTCTGGTTGCTGCTTAATTAGTTCCACAATTAGGCTTCTCACGTAGGACTGAGAAGCGCTATCCTTGTATCTATGTAAGGTAAGTGATACCACCTTACAGATCCCATTAACAATTTTGTCATTGATGCCTGTAATGAATAATGAATCTCATATGTGAATAATTTATATAGCCTAATAAACATAATTTAATGGCATCAGTATTTTTGGGTAAACGTGTGACAATATTTTTGCCTAAAGTCAATCGAATCATATATACAGAATTTTGTCATAATTATTTTATTAAGATCCGTTTCAGGGATAGATTTAATATCAGAGATAAAAGATTCATCTGTACATATTTAAATGTTTTCAAGTTATAGACCTAGTTTACATCGATCACTTGATACGCGTATTAAATAGTAAATAACTAGTAAATAAGTCTGATTATTGGCTGATCAGTTCAAATATACTATTTGATACGCGTATCAAGAGATCGGTGTAAACTAGGCCATAGTCATTTTTGTGAGTCCAATGATTTAAGTGGTTCTACATACATAATGAATAAGAGATTTTTATTCATTTCCTAGACAAAGAATTGAACGTGCTATTGTGCTGCACAAAGAGATGTTAAATCGATTTCTGAACTAGGAATCTTTATAAAATATTCTGCATATTATTTCAAGAATATAAAATTTTACATGTGTGTGTGCCTATTTCTAAGTCAAACATAACAAATAAAATAAAAATTTGATTTTAAAATTACAGAAAGAAAATTCTATATATATAATAGAGAGAAATAAATCACTTGAAATCTTCAATTTTAAACTGCAATATTTTTCATTGATATCATCAAATTATATCAATCAACATCGAATTACGTGATTAATGTGAGAAAATTTAAATAAAAATATATAGCATAACATAAACAAATCCAAAGTAATATTTATATACATATACAAATATATATTAATTTATCTTCATATGTATCATACAGAAAATAATAGTTATAACAAATTACTTGAATGCATGTTATGTAATTTTCACAAAAATGTATCAGATATGTTTAATAATAAAATTATTTTAAAACCCTATTGGCATAGTCAAATTGAATCACATAGAAAATAATACATTTATAATAAATTACTCAATTAAAATATATTGAACATATATTTTAAATATATTTGCTACGTATATTATGTAATTTCCACAAAAATGTGTTAATATGTCTTTGAAAATGTTCAATGAAAATATTTTAATACCCCGTTAGCGTAGTCAAACTGAATCGCATAGAAAGCAACACAGTTACAACAAATTACTTCATTAAAATATATTAAACGTATTTTTTTAAATATTTGCTACATATATTGTGTAATTTTCACAAAAACGTGTCAATATATCTTTGAAAATGTTCGATGGAAATATCTTAAAACCCCGTTAGCGTGGTCAAACTGAATCGCATAGAAAGCAACACAGTTACAGCAAATTATTCCATTAAAATCTATTAAACATATTTAATTAGATAAACATTTGCCACCTGTGCCAGGTAATTTTCACAGAAAAATGTCAGATATTTTCGACAGCGCTCAAGGGAAATATTTTTGACCTTAAAACCTCATTGGCGTTATGGAAACCTCTGTTGGTGTACATACAACATAATTTATATATAATCTTTCAGATAGATCATAAATTATGACAGATCAGAACCAAGACTGAGAGGGAGACAGATACTTAGTAAAACAATTAAAAGACAATATTGTAAATAAACGACTCTGGACTGTTCTAAACAATAAGCTTGTGACAGTTTTTGCCAAAACTGTGCACGAGTGTCGCGGAGACAAATCACGTCGGTGCTCCGAAAACTGATCGGTTCCCCCTCTCGCCCTCCTTATTTTTATAACGCCGTCACCCCGGTCGCGCGTAAGAGCGTCGCTTATCTCTCATCAAAAAATAATACGTGTCCGTCCCGCGATCATCCTTACCGGGATTTGACAATACGCTGGCGACATTTTGCAGAATCTCACGCCGCTCCTTCTTGCTGGCGGTCTGAACTCGATTTGGCAGGTCCTTCAAAGCTTTTGCTAGCTACAACAAAACACACCGATTTATAATAACGCGACGTTGTACGGAGTAACGCGAGAATTTTCTTCGCATTCCACGTGACTCGCTCACCTCGACATCCGCCATTTCTTCAAAAGCCGGAATGATCGTATAAAGCGCCGCTCTTCACCGCGGGCACGCAGTTTGTGCAGAGTATAGAGCGTGTGATTAGAGAACTCGGATTACTCGGAACGGGCGACCTTGCCGGTTGCCCTCCCCCCCCTTCTTGTCACGTTTCAGACACGTTTCGAGAACGTATATTTACAAATAGCTGAACTAGCAGAGAACACACGGGTTTTTCTTCTATTTTATTTCTATTTTATTTAATAAGCCTTTAATTGATGAACGCATGTATTTTTCAACGAATGCCAGTCTGCGTATTGCCGTAATGACAAAATGCATCGTTTAACAAACTTGAAAAATGTGTATATACTCGAAAAAAGAAATTTTCGAGTATATATGTATATAGCGTCGAGTTGGTCGAGCGTCAACGTGAAAAGGCACCTTTACGGTTAAAGGCTCACTACGCCTATTGTGGACTTACCTTTAGTGCCTTTAGTGTGCATCAGTTAGGTTAGGAAGCTCTTCGAGAAAGAACGAACCTATGTAGTATAGAAAATAGAAGCTGTTCAATCGTCGTATACATTTGTCTTTTTCTATTTCGATTCGAGGCCTACAGTCAACAGTCATCCTGACATTCCTGACATTGATATCTAGCCGAGTATATTCAATCTGTAAAACTGATAGCCTGACAGTTGACGAAAAAACAGTGCAACGAAGAGGCATTTTTTAGCGTATTCCTCTTTTTTTCCTCCAATTTGAATTACACGTATCCCACGCACTATCACGAAGCGTCATAAATTTCGTGGAAACTATCAAAATTGTCACGTACGATAAAGGAGAGAGATACGTGTACGTTCGTCGAATAAAAAGGTCTACGCAGCGATACCCCTTTCGTAAAAACAATGTACTTTTAAAGAATGAACTTCTGTCCATCCTGACGTGGAAATGAGGAGCCCGATCCAGACATCAGTTTCTCGCAAAGTACAGTCGATTATTGTCGCATCCTCGTAACCGTTGCTCCATGCAAAATGCAATGTAAAATCAACGATCTGCCCGACGAGCTGTTGGAGTACATCCTGAGCTTGATACCGCCTTACAGAGATCTCCAGGAGTGCAGGCTCGTTTGCAAAAGATGGTACCGCGCTACTAAAAGTACATACACGTTTCTTTTACATTATTCCTTACACGCTTGTTTGTATGTTCAACGTGTAGATACGTTATGCACGTATGTTGGTGCAAAATATAAATTCTCAATATACTAATAATTTATCTCGTTTATTTAGACGTGATAGAACACAATGAAGCTCACTTTCAAAAGTCCGTCGCCTTTGGATCTTTGCTGTGGAACTCGTTGCCGTCTATGCACTGGATATCTACAATTGGAAAGAGACACTCGCATTCTGCCTGTATATACGATAATTCCATGTACGTCTTTGGTGGCTGCACAGCTACATGGACGACATTCAACGATTTATGGCAGCTAGATTTGGGCACGAGGACGTGGGTCAGGCCGATCACCATGGGAAACTATCCGTCGCCTAAAGCTTGTGCTACTATGCTTTATTATAAGAAAAGTTTGATTTTGTTCGGAGGTTGGTCTCATCCGTCACCATATCCGTTGCATCAGGTAACTATTCAAGAAACTGACCAGCTTCAGTTTTAAGATGTTGTCTAAGCATATTGTAAATTTATATTAGATACTATATATATATAAGAGCATTCTTTAACTATATAATCAAATCATGATCTCTGGAAGACAAATAGCCAAACTGTAATGTTACAAAAAAATTTTGTTACAAATTAGATTATTTATAACTTTTATTACTTACTTTATTTACAGATTTTTGTATTATAATAATTAAAAAAATATATATGCATATATAGGTTGAAATACGTGGTATGACGGAATGATTTTATGGCTCAAAATAATAGAATAAATGTTTCAATATAGCCTTGTTTTCGAGAAAAGGGACTTTGAAAGTTAATAAAATATGCGTTTATTGTATAATAAAGTATATTACAAGAGATAATATTTTTTTTTCAGCAATGGAAATTATTTAATGAATTACATGTATACTCTATAAAATCGAATAAGTGGACTGCTATAAACACATTAGAAACTCCACCGCCAACATCCGCACATTCTGCGACAATACATAGGAACTTAATGGTCGTTTTTGGCGGAGTCTGCAATGGATATAATAGGTATATTTTTGTAAAATTATCTCTACACGCGTACAGAAACAAAACATGTACATATATTTATGCATCATATTGTTTATTTTATAGCTCCAATGATGTATGGTGCTTAAATTTGGACTCGTATACCTGGCACAAGCAAAGTACATCAAATTTGAAGCCGCAGCCACGTTACGGCCAGTCGCAAATTGAACTTGGGGAGAAGCATCTACTTGTGCTTGGTATTATTAATTATTCTTAAGATTATATCTTGATTAAGATAAAATTTCCATTTATTAATGTCAGAATACATATAATTAAATATTTATATGCTTGTGTGTGGGAAATATATAGGAGGTTGCACAGGACCAAATGCTGCTATGAATGATGCTTGGTTGTTAACGATGGAAGGTGTGTCTTGGACGTGGAGGAAAATTAATATGCACAATACAGAGTGGGCGCCAACACATATTTGGTGTCATCAAGCTTGTAAGGTAGTAGCTAATTTAGTTTAGAAAAAAAAACCGCAAGTTTGTTGAATATAATTAGACTACGTATACAGAGTGTCTCTGGAAAGTGACAACAAACTTAAAAGGGTTAGATTGGTTTGACGCCTAGCGCTTTAAGGAATCGTCGGATACGAATTATTTAACAAAAGTTGTTCAGTTTGATCACATCAATGACTCTTAAGTTTATTGCCATTTTTTGGAAACACCCTGTACATTGCTAGATCTTAATACTTATAATACTATTATTTGCATAGGTGGGAAATTATATTATTGTACTTAGCAAAAATAGACGTCAAACCAAGCCAAGTGATATGAGTATCTCATTGAAAAAGGTTGCCTGTCAAAGGAGTACTTCATCACGTTTGTGCGAGTCAAATCTTTTGCCTGAAAGGTCTGTTGCAATTATAATGATATTTATAAACACAGCATTGTTATAAAGAGAGTCACGATCGACAAATGATTGTAAAAGGACATTACTGTTATCATTAATCAATTGAATTTTTTTAGGCAGGGAAGCGTATCTACGGTGGACAAAGATGAAAATATAAATGGACGGCACGGAGCATTCTCCAGGTCACATTCGCAAAATGCACACGCTTCATCACAAGCGTCCAGTATTCCAAAAACAATACCATTTTACAGTGATAATACTCTGAGCATGGCCGCATTTCGCGATCAACCTCTGCGTGGTAATTCGAACACGAACAGACAACGTCAGTTAGAATCACTAAGGAGGATGGAAGAGAAAATTCGAAATAAGAAGACACAGCTGACGAAAGTATCCAAAAAAGCTGAGAACACATTGTCGATATTTGTATTGGATATTACCAATGTTCTTTCGGATGACTGCAACGCTTTGTGGATTCCCTTAAAGCAAAACGATCATTCGGGGCCTGATGAGAGAATTCTGTATTCTCTTGTAATGGGAAGGGGAGAACTGATAGTTTTTGGAGGTATTCGTAAAGAACATACAACATTAGGCCACACCGAGGTAGACGATTCTGTAGTGTATAATGATCTCCATTTTATAAATCCACCTCGATATGTTATTTAATATTGAAAAGCAATTAAAAAAATAGTATATTATTTTATGTTATTACTACGATTTTGTTCAAAGATTTTATTTTTATTCTACATAATCTAAATATAAATGTATAATATTAAATGTAGAAAAAATGATAAGAAACATATGTTGATTATATTTATATGAAATCAATATTTACATAATTTGCCTTTAAACTTTAAATATGTTTATTAAAAGATATGAGGAACTCTAAATATATGTACAAAAAATATGGCAAAAATAATAAAAATGAAAAATAAAACTAAACAATATTATGAGCCTTTATTATATAGAGTTTAAAAGTTATTTATTAATTGTATATATAATTATATATTTGTTTGATTTGTATGTATGGTTCATATTTCAGAAATGGTAAATGCATAATGCTTTGCAAATATTTTACAAGATTAAAAAAAATGGATTTAATAATAAAAATCAGTACGTTTTACGGCAAGATTATATATAGTTGCATTTGGAAATAAATGAGTTATAAAAATTTAATAAAATATTAATAAAAGTTGTAATTTTTAATGTTTTTTATATTTTGGCTGTCAGATTTTAATAAATTTAATAAATAATAAAAAAAAGATAAAAAATAAAAAATAGATTAATTTAGAAAAATCTCACTAAAAAATTCGCATAAAATTCTGGTTTATTATCTTTTACTCCTTTGAGATTGATGGTATTATCTACAGTTTAAGATTATTCAAAATTATTTAAGATTTGTAAAACAAACTGACGAAAGTAAAATGTTTGATCTCAATAATTTAATATTCTAATGAATACACAGCGTCCACTGGAACATCTGGTATTCGATTGCGGATGCGTTTTATGCGAAGCCATGCACGATTTCAAATTTTTTCCAAATTTGCCAAAAGTTGAATGTAACCTGCGTCATTTCTATTTAAAGTGAGTAAAAAGTGAGTGATATAACGCTGTTGAAATGTATCTTACGGGGTGACGTGTGGCTCCGTGCGAGAGTCATCAATTCGTAATGGGCAGGTTCCAGGTTCGAATCCAACCATAGTCAATCCCCGTATACCTCAATTTTACAGGAGGTAAATTGGAAGATCGCATGAATAAATGTTGCTGATGATGAAATCATCAGAGCCTCAATTATATTTAATTTATGTTAATTTAATTTAGCATAAATTCCGCTTTACAAAAATATATCACTCTAAGTGATGTCTAAGTGAATAAAATACAGAATGGGAAATTCATTGCTCTCAAGATGTATGTACGAAGGTGACGAAGCGCTTTGGTCTAACAGAGCAATAGCGATAGCTATACAAGTTTATTATTATCACCAATATTCATGTGTCGTATAATGCAAAAATGATAAAAAAAGGTGATATCTGGTGCAGATACATGGACATGGCAGAGAAACTCGGTAGATATATGAAAAGATTCTAATAGAAATCATGGATGATACTATCATACAGAAAATGGAATATGTGTTTACAATTTGCAGAACTCGTAAATATTAAATAGGAGAAATTAGTTAGTTAAATAATAATTGGGAGTTTATCTATCTTTCTTTCCCGAATTTGTGATTTCCGTTTCTGCACATCGTAAACATGTTTCCCCTTAGTATTGTCATCATTCAGGTTCACTCTGTAGCCTTTTCATATATCTGCCGAGTTTCTGGCACACCGTGTATCTTTTTTTGTTTACACCTTTTAACATCGGTAATTTCCATGCAAGAAAAATCCATGCAATTTTACAGTTCTGTTTATACTTAAATTCTTTATATTCTCAATATTATAAATGTATATTTTATATCGATTGGAAATTATTTCATATTTTGATCGAAAGATATAATATAACTAAATAACAAATGTAAATTTCTTTTATACATATAGAAATTTTGAAATTATATGGATAAACTGGATTAGTAGAGAGGAATAAAGGATGAGAGAGATGTATCGGTGAAAACATATTACATTAAATTGAATGTTTCTTCCGAACAGTATATTGATCGTCATACGTTCATATATTAATTCAGACATAACAAGTTTTTGTAAATCATATTTTTTCTTTTATATAGCTTTGTATAAGAAATACATATAAATTTGTAATAAATGGAAATTGTTTATTATTATTGTAATTATTATTTTTATAAATATATATCCTCTTTATTAATAATCTTCTAATATCTAAGTAATTGGGTGGTAAAAAAAGAACTCTCTGTGAATCGCTGTGGTCAATCATAAGCAGGATGGGATTGCGCGCTCTCAAAGCTGATTGGCGTGAATCAGCGTGAATTCTTTTAGGTTACAAAAGTCATAACAAAGTTATACTTGATAACGGAGTTACTCTTGACACATTTCTACATTATTGATAATTTAGCTAAACGGAAATTTATATACGTTTGGCCGACGATATCGCTTCGATTTGCGAAACAAACCGTAATTGCATTGCTATAATTATATCTAGTGAATTGCGACGTAGAGAAACACGTATGTCGCTGAGGCATCGCGTGTGCATGCGTCGGCGAAAGGAGGAGAGGTCTTTGACAATTTGAAGAGAGACAGTTGGAAACGATAATGGATAAAATCTTTAGATCGATTCACACGAGCCGGCCGGCGTTGTACAGAACGTTAACCAACGAGCAATGCGTACAGTGAGTGATTATATCTTTCTGTCAAATAGACATACATTTTTCCACTGCGTATACATTTCTATTGACAAACGTAAGTTTGTAAACCATACCTATGTTTTTCAGGAGGTCTAATAAACTTCCTGTGAGACGAGATGTACCTGCGATCAGTGCAATGTTACTGGCACAGGAATATTCAACGTAAGGCCTGCAATTTTATTGTCCCTTCCAATATGTGAAAAATTGTAGTATATACTGTATATATTATAATTATATGAATATCTTTATCCAATAGTCAAATCAAAAACAGATTTTGCTATGAATTTTGTCAGTAAAATGTTAGCAGAAATATAATAGAATTTTTTTAACCGAATACGATGACAGATTGATTGCAGAAATCGAGTGGAGTTTGCCATTTCTTAACCAGTAAGCAAAACGTTAAGTGCATTAGCTTGTCAGCAGATTTGAGCAAAATTTTATGGCAGGTTGATATCACTTGTGTCTGCTCTCAATTCTACCAAGTAGAATTTGTCATTTTATAATTACTTATGTGAAATGTGTTATTTAAATTGTAAAGTGGCAGGTTCTGCTCGGTTTCCACAGTCAATTTGTCATCGTGTTGTGTTGGTATTAAGAGTGAATAAAATTGATAGCAGACACCTTGCAAAATCTGTCTTCAATAGATTTTGCAAGGTGTCTGCTATCACTGTTCCAAGAGAACTAATGAAACAGCGAGTCATTCATATATGTTATTTTCAGAGCTCTCCCTGTTGGCGTCAGGCACTTGTACAACAATGAAACTCCAGTTTGTAGGCTGTTCCCTAAACGCAATCCCCTGATAAATAGTCAACAGAGACGTAGCATGTTTGTCCAAACGCAAGATACACCGAATCCGAATAGCCTGAAATTTATTCCGGGAGTGCCAGTATTGGGAGAAGGATGTACGAAAGACTTTCCGAGCGCTAAGGACGCGTTCTGCTCGCCACTTGCGAAAATGTTGTTTCGCATCGAGGGAGTGAAGGCGATATTCTTTGGGCCTGACTTCATCACCGTTACGAAATTCGACGAGGATGTAGAGTGGAAGCTGTTGAAGCCGGAGATATTTGCCACTATCATGGATTTTTTCGCGAGCGGATTGCCAGTCATGGATGAAACCTCTCAGCCTGCGGCGGATACGCGTACAGTTCACAGTTTTTTACCTTTGTACAAAGTGTTCGAGGGAATATGAAATGCTGATGGTTTTTGACTTTTGTAGAAATTAATCCGGAGGACGACGAGATTGTTCAGATGATAAAGGAATTGTTGGATACACGAATTCGTCCCACGGTGCAAGAGGATGGCGGTGACATTGTATTTATGGTAACCGTTACGCCCAAACCTTAGCAAGAAAGATTTCATATTCATTTATCTATTATCTCGAATAATATAACATTATTTCTTATAATCGCAACAGGGTTTCGAGGAGGGTATTGTGAAACTGAAGATGCAAGGCTCGTGCACCAATTGCCCAAGCTCAGTAGTAACATTGAGGAACGGCGTACAAAACATGATGCAATTCTACATCCCCGAAGTACTCGGAGTCATACAAGTCGAGGACGAGACGGACAAGATCGCTGAGAAGGAATTCCAAAAATTCGAACAGAAGATCGGCAAAGTAGAAGAGAGTAAAGACAAATAGACGTGATTATAGTTTGACTTGTAGGCGACAGCGGACCTACACATCGTCTTGTAATTCTGTACATTGTAGACATCGTATATTGTGTATTGTTTAATTGTAAATAACAAAACATAAATAAATGATTAGGTTGAGAACCGGATTTTAATTTTTTATTACAAAGTGCTTATCTGCTAGATACAGAAACTTGCCAGACACGAATAGTATTATCGGAGTATCCAGCGAACAGTGTCTGACCGTCGGTGGACCACGCGAGAGACAGACAGAGCGGAGGCTCCGCCTTACTCGTCGCAGATACGACCTCGGGTTTTAGTTCCTCGACCATTTCCTTGGTCTCGAGATCCCAGATTTTGATCCACGGTCCAAACGCGGCGCACAGCCAGTAACGATTAGGGCTGAAGCATAACGCGGTAATGATGTCATTGTGGTCCAAAGTATGGAGATGCTTTCCGTCGTTCAGATCCCACAACATAGCTTTGCAATCCTGCGAAACAGAATCAATATATTATTCGCATGATCAACGATATTTTGAACGATAAATATGATCAAGTACGTGTCGTACGCACCTTTCCACCAGATGCGCAAAGTGATCCATCAGGTGATACCGTAACGGTATTCAGATATCCCGTATGACCGCTATGATTGATCTTCAATCTGCAGTTCGTCAAGTTCCAGACCTGTGAAACAGATAAATCGCTGAAATTACTAACGGATCTATCGTGCAGTTATAAACAAAATTATAGCGTCCAATGTCAGCCCCATATCCGCATACACTCATAGATATATCATGTTTGTGTAAAATAAAAGATATCCATCATTCTTATCGAATATTTTGCGTTTACATTCGTGAATCTTGTAAAACTTCGTTCTTTACCTTGACAACGCGATCCCAACCCGCGGAGACGATGATGGGGTTCGCATGGTTCGGAGAGAAGCGCACACAGCTGACCCAGTCAGTGTGTCCGTCATCCTGAATGGTGTATTTGCACTCGGCCAACGTATTCCACAATTTAATCGTCTTGTCCCGCGAACCGGAGACAATCTGACGATTATCCACGGAGAAAGCAACGCTCAAAACGTCCTACATTTAACAGAAACATAACTCACGATCAATTAATAAAACGATATACATACTGTCCCACAATTTGTAAATATCGGCTCAATACTTACGGTATCACCGATTTAATCGGTGCCTACCTCTTCTATTTCAATTTAAAAAAAAAATAAAAAAAAAAGCTTCAGTGTACATTTCATATTTCCCATGGGATTGTTATTTCGTAATAAAGACAAATGAAAAGAAAATCTCATATTACGAAGTGATATACCTTCATAATATGGAAAATGTTTCTTTCGTCTCTGTTACGAAGAAAATTCGAATATGCATTGTCGCGACGCGGACGGTCGACGAGTCACACCTTGGTATGGTCCTCGAATCTTCTGGTCGTGCGACCTGCCGCCAAATCCCAAAGACGCAACGTCTTGTCCCACGACCCGGACAGAGCGTAGTTGCCATCGGACGAGAGAACTACGTCGCTTATGAAGTGCGAATGACCGTAGAGACGCTTCTGTGGGATACCATAGTTAGCTTCGTCACGCGTCAATTTCCATACGATCAGAGTCTTATCTAGAATGGAAAACAGTGATATATGAGGCACTGCTGTCACTTTCCAAGATTTAGGACGACCTAAACCAAACTTTAATTAACTTGATCAGCAATATCTGTACTATTTTATTATAATAAATAAATTTTAATTTTATTAAACAACAGACAAATTTGTATTGTTTGATACATGAGAAAAAAAGATTAAAATGAGCACAACAAATAATATAAATTACAAATTTTGCAATAAGCAATTCTATTGATTGCATTAATTGCTAATTATATTAATTAAGAAAAAATATTGCCGCCTAGTCTGCCACCTGGCCTGACCACTCAGGTTTGATCCTTACGCCTTAGCTTTATAATGGCCAGTCTACAATGAGTCGTTAGTCATTAGTCAGATGTCGGAAGAAATAGTTATAAGCGTATTGTAAGCAATCGAAGGCCTGTAATCGGTGATCGTAAGAGATGGCATTTGGCCAATCGCTTATGATTGCCGATTACAGACTTCCGATCGCCTTATGACACGTTTATGACTTTTTTCGACTCTCTTCCGACATCTGAATAACGACTAACGACTCATTGTAGACTGGCCATAAAAGACTGGAGAAGATTGTAGGTAATGGAGTATAGGATAAATTGTAACAATAAATTAGCACGCGTATACGTAATATATACAAGTTAGATACAGATTTTGTCGAAGTTTGGTCAAAGTCACTCTTGGTTCCACAATTGCTATAACGAACAGATGGAATATTAAATCTAATTGAGTTAAATCATATTTTGTAGTATAAAAAAATTAAAATAAAAAAATTAAGCGAATTTCATACCGGTGGATTAGGCTACAGCTAAGAAACCAGAATTTTTCTGTAGAATCGTCGAAAAAATGGGAAATCGAAGGGAGATAGGGCCTCGGAAACGAGGCGATACTTGCCACGTGAAGAAGACAATATCATGTCCGGATATTTCGGATTCGTCGCGATTTGCGTGACCCATCCGTTGTGGCCTCGAAGCGTGCCCCTTAGCTGTAGAGTCTCAGTCATTTTGAATCGCTTTCGGCTACGTTATATCGCCGATTGTGACGGATTACTCCGCGCGTACCGCACCTCTCAAACGACGAACGTAAAGGAATGAGCGGCGCGCCGGACACGCGCCTCAATCACTCAACCGATGTTCATAAATACATTGATGCACTACCTGCTGTGTCGGAGAGCACGGGGAGCGCGTCTCGTTTGACAATAGCCACTCACAGCCCCGGTGCCTGAAATTTTTCCGCTGGACCGGCCAATCAGATATTTTTATTTTAAATCAACCAATTGACGACGTGGTCACTCGATACTTCGATCTAATAATCGGACAAGTTGGATATCGCATATTTCTTTATTTAATTAAATTATTAAAATATAAAATAGAAATATATTTATTCGTTTTATTTCAATCACCATCAAATGATGGAATTAACTTGGATCAATTTAATCGATGTTTGATCGAAATTGCCCTAAGTTTTATTTTCTGTACTTATGTTATTTAATCCTTTTTCTCTTCTAATGCTAGGTTTACAATGCGAGTCGTAAAGTCGTGAGTCGTAAGAATTGACCAATCACAGTCGATTATTCTCCTCAAACTCGACTGTGATTGGTCAATTCTTACGACCCTTACGACTCACGACTTTACGACTCGCATTGTAGACCTAGCATAAACCCTTGTGTACACGATACTAGAAATCGATTCGAGTTTCGGTTTAAGCCAATAAAACTGCTGCTTTTCTGTAAGAGCTGCAAGTTGATTGGCTTAAACCGAAACTCGGACCGATTTTTAGTATCGTGTACACAAGGCTTAATGCTAGGTCTACAATGCGAGTCGTGAGTCGTAATGCTATATAGGTTTAGGGCCAAAGCACATATGACAGTCGTAGTCGTGGACGTAAGTAAACGCACAAGCTTTGACGTATCCTGATCTGTCAGGTCGGGGACTACGACCGTCGTATATCGCTACGCCATGTTATGTGCTTTGACCCTTACAATGCGAGTCGTAAAGTCGTGAGTCGTAAGAATTGACCAATCAAAATAGAATTTGAGGAGAATAATCGACTGTGATTGGTAAATTCTTACGACTCACGACTTTACGACTCGCATTGTAGACCTAGCATAAGCGAAAAAACATATTAAAAATATATAATCTGTTGGGCCGATTTCACCGTCTCCGATTAACTTTTGAATACTTTTGATCCTCCAATTAAACTCACTCTTCGTCTCTTTCTAATGCTAGGTCTACAATGCGTGTCGTAAAATTGGGAGTCGTAAGAATTGACCAATCACAGTCGATTATTCTCCTTAAATTCGATTGTGCGTGGTCAATTCTTACGACTCACGACTTTACGACTCGCTTTGTAGAAGTTAGAAAGAGATAAAGAGTGAGTTTGATCGAAGGATCAAGTTAATCGGAGACGGCGAAATCGGCCCTTTTATCTTATTTCTTCCAATGTGGAGCAAAAAAGACAAACTCTGAACTAGTGCGGCCAGTTCAGCAATGGAAAACAGGACGCTTTTTGTCTTTTCCCTTTGGAGAGAAAAAGAGGAAAGTTGAACGGTGCAAAAAGTTCAGCTAATAAGAACGGATCCTCATTGGTCGCGTTCAGCAGTTCAAACCGCTCAGTAGCAGTCGAACGTGATTGGCTCTTACTTTTAGAACCAACCAATCAACGCAGAGTGTTGATAAGACGACACTCAACAGTTGTGTCTGCTGAACGCGGCCATTGATAGCATCACAAAACACGGTCATCAAATAGACGATTACAGCTGATTAGCGTATATCCGTTGGATCCGACGAATCGACCACGGCGTTTACGAGACGGATTTTAAATCGCTGCGCACTTGCGCTTGTCGGGCGGCACATGGGCGGCACTCCACTCTCCACCTCCAGTTCACGCCTATGGACCTATGGTGTGTGTGATATATGTCAATGCTCCATGCTCCATCCTCTCTCATGCGCTCGACGGACGTCAGAATCATCGGCGGAATCATCGGTGACGAGTCGAGGCCGTGTGGCGGCCAGTCACTCCTCGTGCAATGATCGACGTGTCATCGACCAATTAATAGACGGTCGGATCGCTGGTGGATCGGTTCGGTAAATCGTTCATCAGGTACGTGATCCGCGGGCGTTTTCTGGCGTTCAACGATCGCGCTTCGACAGTTTTGACAGTTTTGAAAAAAAAACCACTGGGCGTGTGTGATTTGTCCGGAAAACATCGGGCGTATCGCTCCTGTGTTGACTTTGAGCGCTCCATATCTCCTTCCAACGTTTCTCGAAAAAGGAACGAGGAGAAACGGGGAGCATAAAATTATATGACGTTGCAGCGCACCACTTCGAAATTGTTAACGTCGAGCTTCGACAGGGTCGATTACTGTTTTTGCATATTGTTAATTCGTTTGTATAATCGCGACGTTATATTCTCAAGATTGTTTGATATACATTTATTTTTCAACATTCATATAAACGGTTGGGAGTGATAATTCCGAAGAAAATAGCTCAAGTAGTTGAAAATCAAATTGTTATGTATCTATCTTGAAAGTAATGCGGCAATAAAGAGACATTTGTGTTTGTTGGTTTAGCAATGGCCACAGGTGGTAGTAGTTTCATCAGTAAACCAGCCAGAGGATGGTTGCATCCGGATCATGTAGTCAGTAAGGAAGGGATAAGTTATACAGTGAAGGTATGTTATCTATTATTTTGTTGATAAGATATAACGGAATGACAGTTTGAAGTCTCCTGGAAAATTCATTATATAATATGTATTACAATTACACGTGACGTCTGCTCTCTTTTTCGAAGAACTGATGCATATTGGTACAACAAGTTGGAGTGAGAAACAATACTGGATGTGCACCACACACACACACACACACACACACAGTTCAGGAAGTTCTTCGAAAAGCACAAACCTATCACGTTACATTAGAAAGAATTGACTACATTTAGCTCTTTGCATTCGGAAGTGGAGTCCATAATCGACACATCTTACATTTCATTCCAGCGTCTCAAATGTCGATGAGTCACGTTTCACATTAGGTATTTTTGAGAGTTTATTGTAATTTTATGTTGTTAAATCTTTAAATATAAGTATGACGACGTAATAAAATCTAGTGTTTTCAGAAATAAAAGGCTTTTATTTGATTATCGAGTTGTTAGAACGAAATGTTGAATTTATTGCGGAGTGCAAAGAGTTAAATATTTTATTTCAAATTTTTTAATACAAGCTTAATATTATCAAGGAGTAAAATTTTAGTTTTAATTTTATTAATTTATATACATTTATATATATTTAAATTATATATATAATTTTTTTTATTAACTCTTGAATATACATATCAGATTTAATTTTAAAGAATATTTTTCTATTTATTTTGTGGTGACTCTTATATTTATTCCTCATATTCATCGATATACTTTTAACACATTTGGATTGTGTTTATAAAAAGGAAAAATAAAAATAGTAAAATAATATATGTACATGTGCTATAAAGAACATATAAAGACGAAGCATTAGTTTGATTTTCGAGGGAAATTGTTATTGCTTCTTTTCTCTTATCGTATCTTAGCAACAAAGCTGATAAAAATTACCGACCTTTTTAGAACGTAGGTTGAGGCTTCTAATAAGGCTCATTATAATGTTCTACGACAGGAATGTTCGTGCTTCGAGAGCGGTTCATTTCTCGTCCTGAGTATCAACGTTCTCATTAAAAAATTCCCTCTTTCCTTCGTTACTGTTATGTTATTAATAAATATAATAAAATTTTGTCTTGTTATTCATTACCGTCTATAGTAATATTTTAATATATTTTACTTAAGGTGTAACTTATTCAATATTTAATTATATGTGTGTATATATGTATGTTTAACAGGAATTTACACTAGTAGTATAGAGTATAGAAAATTAAATATTGAAAAAATTACACCTCACATATAAGTGTATAAAATATTATATAATGAAAAAAGAAATATATATTACTATATAATTAATAGATTCTGATATTATTCATAAGACGGTATTGTTATTACGGTTTCTTGAGCATGATTTAGCGCGATAAGACTTGCCTTAAAGTTTGCTTTAGCAGGATGTGATCCTATTACTTTTGAAGCACGAACGTCCCTAAGGTAAAGCGTCACACCTTAGCTATTAGAGATGAAAATGGCAAGGGAAGGGCAATAAGCACAGGAAATGTAGTTCAGAAATGTCATTAATTCCAAGTATTAGCGTGATGATCTATTGATCCACACAATCTATTTACCTTTTATGTCTAATCCTTGTCTACTTGAAATATTACAGTATATTGGATGTCTCGAAGTGAACACGTCGATGAAAAGCTTGGATTTTGAAACACGATCGTGCGTAGCTAAGTAAGTCGTAAAGCACTACTTTGAATTATAACTTTTGTCGTAGATATTTTCGAGCATACAATAAACGACTTTTTATGTTATTTTAGGGAATGCATAAACAGAGTTTGCGAAGCTGCCGGATTAAAATCTGCTGACAAAAAGAGAAGGGTACTAGAAAATTATTATATTTACAGATAACTGTATTTATGCTTACAATTTTCATTAAATTTCTCTTGAACAGGTTGACAAGAAAGTGTTGAGAGCTATAGCAGATAAGCCTCGCATGGAGCATAGTGCTGTTAATGTTACTTTAACCATCAGCAGTTGCAGTTTATCCTTGACTAATATTGAAACTAGACATATTATTGCGAAACATGATATGCCACGTATATCCTTTGCTTCAGGCGGCGATACGGTAAAGAGTATACACATTACGTACTATCTTTTGTATATGCCATCTAACTATTTTTGTACATGCATGAAATATAGCTGTATAAAATTATAACAATCACTATATTAGTTATATAGTTTAGTTATATTTTATATTAGTTATATTTACAATGATTACACGTATTATATTGTTTTGCTTTTAAAATTATAGCTACATTGTATTATGTAACAGGAAATACTGGATTTTGTTGCGTACGTTGCTAAAAATATGCAAGAGTGGCGCGCTTGTTACGTGCTTGAATGTACAGGTGGTTTAGCGCAGGATGTTATATCGACTATTGGACAAGCGTTCGAGCTCAGGTTTAAAGAGTTTCTTACAAAACCAAGTTCTCTGCAGTAAGTTGTAGAAATCGATTTATAGATCTAGAGTTATAACGGTCTCTGTTATTTATAATCATGCGTATTTACTTGTTAGCCCCGTGCTAAACGGTGTCAGAGAGGTGGACAGGGATTATTACAATGATCTGCCAGGGAAAGTACCGCCAGATATTGGCCCACCGCCAGTACCTCCTTTGCCTAATACAGCATCTACACTGCCTAATCTGAAGCATCATCAAAATCATGCGCGCACTCATGCACAAAGTATTGCAGTTGATTCATTCTCATCTGCTGCAGACAGACATCAGCAGTTGGCAGGTTAATATCTTTTATAAAATACTTGTTTGAATAAAATAGAAGGTTTAATAATTTAAGTTCTATAATATACATTATAAATTTCTTCTTTTACATTTATTCCTATTTTTTATCATTTTTTTCCACAGAAACTGGGAATCTAATTGATTTAAATTCAGATAGCACTCCATCAACGAATTTAAATATAATGTCTGAGCACAATTACGTAAACGACAGTGTCATAGCTGCAAGCAGAGACAATCATCGTGATCCAGCATCACTTTTTGACGTTTTTGATATGCGTAAGAGAATTACTGTTTTATTCTCATTCTTAGTAAAGATTCAAAAATTTTTAATACTTAATAATACAAATCATAAAAGTCTTTTAAAATAATATCGGCCTGTTTTGATCGCTATAATTTATCATATATTTACGTTACAATCGCAAGTATATTTTTATATGAAGAAATTTATTCTAATGTCAAAAGTTTGTAACAATTTTGATTTTTACTCGTTTACTATACTTATGTCGACCTTTATTTATAAATTACAGAGCCGTTTAGTTCTGCAATATCCGATATGAACAGACTAAGTCCCCGATCACAGAAACAGCAGTTAAACCAAGAAATTTGGTTTCACGGAAGTGTTAGCCGATCTGAAGCGGAATCCATGCTTACTAGAGTAAATATATTTTTATCATAGAGTATAAAGAATATAAAGATCATAGAGTATAAAGATCTCTTATTGTCTGATATGAATTTATATTTGCTTTTTATTTCACATTGTAAGGATGGCGATTTTTTGGTTCGAGAGTCACAAGGTTCCCCCGGCCAGTACGTTCTGACTGGAATGAATAATAATACCCCAAAACATTTGTTGCTAATTGATCCTGAAGGCGTCGTAAGTATAAAACGAAATTTATGTAACAAAATTACTAAAGTTAGCTTGCAATCGATAATTACTAAAATATTCTTATCGATTGTATATAAATCTATACTTAGGTATTTTTCTAGACCTGAATTTCGATAAGCGATGGTCATACAAGGTAGTACAAATTTTAATTTACAGGTTCGCACAAAAGATCGTGTATTTGATAGCGTAAGTCACTTAGTGAATCATCACTGTGACAACGTATTGCCTATCATATCGGCTGACAGTGTTCTAGTACTGCGTTACCCCATACCCAGGCATACAAATTATTGATTTTGAACGTTGAACGATGACTAAAGGGCACAGACTTGGCAAAGATTTTCCGAATAGTTATTTTACGTATCTTTGCACGTGAGAATCTTTGGCAAGTTTTGGCTTTTGTGATATTTTTAAAATCAAGTCATTTCATACGAAAGATATATAACGGTTTGTACCTTTTTATTGTATATGAATAGATGATTTATGAATATTTTTCTCTGTGAATCTCCTTACGAAATGTGCCAACCTAGCCAAAGTAATATAATTTCTATAATTTATCAGAGTTAAGCACATTCCGATTTTTTAATATAAAATACATCATCTAATTTGTGACTTTGGATTTACGTAAGATTTACATGTGTAGAGAAATTTTATATATAACTATATTTTAGATATAGAATATGCTTTTTATATCGGATACATTGTTGCAACCCCATCTTTCATGCAAAAATAACTATAATAAATATAATTTCATGCAGTATGTTGTCATTTTATTTCACTAATTAATTAATCCTTAACGTTAAAGAAGTCTGTAGGCTGAATTCACTAATTTTTTATTCTTTTTTCTCGTGTATTTTTATTTTAGTATATTTAACATTTATAATTCATTGTAGTATTTGTAGTTGATAATCGCTTTGGGTGTTATAAGACTTATAAAATGTTTAAATACTAAAAAATTGTTTATTAAACAATTTGCATTGTCTAATAAACCTATTGAGTTTTTTTGTTCTGTACTTTTCGGCTACATGTATATATGTGTATGTATAATACTAATTAATATTTTTTAAATATGCAAAAACATGCAATCAATATTTCTTTTTCTAAGAGTACATATTTTTATCAATTTTATTTAAATATTTAATAAAACGTTTTTATTCTTGAACTTTTTTTATGGTAATAAATAATGAGTCAAAAACAAAATGCGTTTCACAATTTATTTACAGTAGAAACTTCACAATAAATATTGATTTTATTTACAATAACGATCAGCTTTCATCTTACTTCTCCTATCTAATAGAGTTTCATGCAGATTTCCTTCTGTTTTTGCCTTCTCCAGCTCAGAACGATCGGACTTATTTATCCTTAACTTTTTATCTTGAAACTTTTGAAACTTTCGTCTGGGAAATTAAATATTGTTAATATCAGAAATATACTTTTAAACATCTGGTTTAAAGTAGGATAAAAGAGATAGCGGAAAAATTAACGCAAAATGTAAAAGTTCTAATATAAGATTTGAACAATCTTCTGTTCAATAATTATATGATTATATGATTATTGATAAAATTCCACATCATACTCACACATAATTTACTTCCACCTCCGTGATTGAGCCTTGTTCCTCTTTCGGAATATCCCTACTAGGACTCTGAGAACGTTGTATTATACTTCTTATAACAACAAACTCTGACGATCCAGCTGTCCTACTCTGGCAAACTATATCATCGTCATTTGTAACCGACATGAAGCATCCAGTATTATTTAATATCGCAAGCTTGCCATCCTGGAAAACAATGCGATTTCACAATTAATATATAGGTATTTAAAAAACAATGCAATGCAAAAATTTTTCTATTTAATAATGAGAAATTTATTTAGCTATGAAATTACTACGTCTATATTTTACTTTTTGTTGATATTACATAAATTAATAAGTAATAAGATATTACAGATAATAAAAATCTACGATCTTCAGTTCGACAGATTTTCTAATTAATTTCTCTGATTAACAGACAACATAAAGGCAAAGATAAATACTTCAGTGTTTGAAAAAAATCAGTTAAAAAAGACATACAAAATAATTTTGAACCAAACTATTAATATCTATTTTAATATTCATATGGAAATTACTTGAAAAATTGGCTCCCACTGTTCGATAGAACCGACTGCGTCACTTCGTCCAATAACAACGCCATTTTTATCAACTCCAAGATATTTGCCGTATCCAGATTTCAAGGCAACCTTAGTCTCGCTCACGGGAAACGCTGTTAATATTTCTTCCGGCGATGGACTCTCTCCTTCGGCGTGCGGTGCCCCAAGAGTAAACAATCCATTATCCAGTGCCTTCATGTAAGTTTGATTTCCAAATTCGACTGCTACTGTCCCGGTGACTTCAGCTACATTCTTAACCTTCCACCACCCGCCTGTAAAACAAAACGTCATCTGTATAAATTACAAACGTTTTACACAAAATTAAAAAATTTGTAAAATGTAAATTTTAAATCTTGCATCTTAAATTTTGATAAGAGTACTCATTTGATCTTTTTTTGTGTAAAAATACAGGATTGAAAGAGAGACAAGAATTGCTACTCTAACAATAAGATCAGTAATTAAGTGCTACAAATGATTTACAGATTAAGAAATCTGCGATACAAAATAAAGGGGAGTAAGCATGCACTATAACAAATAGCAAGCAAAATATAAAATCTAATATATAATTGTGACATAAATTGCTATGTACAAAAAGTAGGGAACTGTGTTTCGTAACTATGATTATAGATTTTCCAAATATGCCATTATTACGATAAATCTCCTTTGAATATGACGTCTTTAGTATTTTGAAGAGGATAGACAAAGTCACATAATAGACAAAGAAACTCTAATTAACTCAGTATTATTTGGTTGGTTTTGGACTTTGGAAGTAAAATACAAGTACACTTGTGCCATATAATCCCGACACGGCGTTGAAGGCACCTTAATTTTCAAAAAAGAAAAATCTTTAGCACTTGATCACTGTTTTTAGAGCACTGAACGGCGATTATTGTTTTTTAAATCTTTATTTTTACGCAAAATAGAAAATTGAATACTTTTATCAAAATTATAAAGTGAAGAATCTAAGCTTGACAACTTAACCAAAAAATTAATAAATACCATGAGTAAGGGTATCTTTATCCTCCACAGTGGTTTCCTGCTCTTTTTCTTGTTTCTTAGATTTTCGTTTCTTCGGTCTGGAAAGGAACGATGAATGAAATATCGAAAAAAGGAATGCGATTAAAATAAATTCCAAACGACAATGAAAGAATGGAGGTTATACCTTGATTTTTCGCCTTTCAATACTAATTTTCCCGTCCGCACTTTATCATACTCCGACATTTTAATGCTCCTCAAACTTTCACTGTAATATCGTACAAAGAAATAAATCCGACTTGTGGATCTCACACAGGATACAGAAATGTTTTCTTTTATCAGGATTTAACGTGCCGTCAACTTCCGAATACTTACTTGTTTTCCAGTTGCAGAAATGGCGCAAACCGCAAACCATGGTGTAAGTAGACAGGTGAAGCATTCCCGACGCTGCGCGCTCGTTCAGTTTCTGACAGCGTTTTTCATTGGTCGCGTTCAACCACTGATCTATTATAGATCAGTGCGTTCAACAGACCAAGCCGCTCTGTAGCAGTCGAACGTGATTGGCTCTTACTTTTAGAACCAACTAATCAACGCAGAGGTTGATAAGACGAACTCAACAGTTGTGTCTGCTAAACGCGCCAAAAATTTTTACACTTTAAACGAATTGTGACACGTGACACGCATTTTTTCGCGTATGCGCATTAGAAGCGAATAAGTGCCCGGTGCCGCGAACTTGCCGGGTTTGAAGAAGACTCCGGATGATGCCGACAGCCGAACATGAAGTTCGCAAAAGAATGATTCTGCGTCCTGAGGAATTTATTGTCGCTTTCCTGAACGAAAATTGTTACAAGAGGGTGTTTTATGCACTCAGTATCTGTATCTAAAAATTATTTAAAAATTAATGTGCCATAACTTATAAATAAGTTCTAGCTTATTCCATTTTAACAGCCTTTTTTGAACAATCTATTCAGATTCATATTAAAGTATAGTTGTTTGTTTAATAGGTTTTTATTTTAGTTAATATTGATGTTAATCTTATTCATCTTTAATCTCTCTAATTTGGCGCAGTATCACTGCGTTTCTAGTAAAAAGATATTAATATTTTTAATTATTCGATTTACATTGGAATTAGCCAATTTCTCAACAAATGACGCAATAATATTAAATCTAAGTTTTTACTTCCAAAGAAATCTAATCTATTGGATATCCGGGTATCTAGGACCTCTATTTCCCTTTATACGTATAATCCCGCTCAAAATGACTGGAAATAAAAATTCAATTTTTTTTAACGTTACATCTAATAGTGAATTTGATATTATTTCACTTAGGAACTCTTCGACTATTTGACTTTTAAATTTGAATTTACTCCGATATCGATAGACGAATATCGCTGCTCCAATTTCAACATTCAACCTGATGGATTCTCATCCCATGGTTATCCTTTTCCATGTGACGTCAGAATATCCCCTCCAGTCATGAGAAAATCAATATAGCAGGAGTTTATAGCTACTTCTAGGCGGGTCCTGGATATTCCGGGCAACTTCGATTGGAGCATTAACGCTACCGACGAGATGCGAGTCAGACGCGCGTTACACATCTGTCACACTAACAGGTAATTTTGTTAAATTATACTATGTACTTAATACTTAATGCAGTGAAGTAAATATATATAAACTTTTATTTAAAGAAAACAAGAAAGAAACAAAGAATAAATAAAACAAAATAAATGTGAAAAATTTACTTACAGATGACATTACATATCATGACACATCACATTCTTATATTACATTGTCATATTACATCATTGACATGTATTATTACATATAATATTGATACATTACATATACTGGATGAATTTCTTATATTTATTTCGTTTTTTCTGCTTTTTTTTCTCCTTAAATGCAATCATATGTTAGTTTCATTGTAAACATAAAAGAAGCATTTATAAAAATGATTGTGTAACGGAAATAAAATTAAAATAACTGTTAAACTGTTACAATTAGACCGTCCATTTTATTTCAGAATTTTAGATTATAGCTAATTATAGATCAAAGACGACAGTCTGCACTACTAGATGACCCTGTTCGTGAATTCAAAATTAATTTAAATAAAATATAGTCTTAATTACAGCAAATTCAGCAGACATGCGTTGATTCTTTTCCAGGATTATGAAAATTATTACACATGATGATATATTAAGCGCAAAAACACAACATCTAATTTCTTTTATTCGTAAAATATTTAATATTCATTTCACTAAGAATGAGATAATGTTAATATTAAATTTTTCATCGATTAAGACGTTTACATTATGTTTTTATCACAAATATAAACATATTAAAGTGAGTTATTCATTTCAAAATAAAGAATAAATCCAATCGTATTAATTTTGTTTTAAATGTCCAGGCACCCAATATCACTTTTTGCATAAATATCCATTTGCTCATATCACTTATTCTTTTGCAGATTATCGATCGGTGCGAGTGAAAGGTTGATGACATAGAAATGACGTAAGAATTAAGCTCAATGAACACGTAAGGAAACTTGGGAAAAACTTTTATGATTGAGTAAAAAAACCAAATAAGGTAAGAATAAATAAAGCTCACTACTTTTGCAGATTTAATCGAAAAAAATTAGTGTTCTAAAATAAAATCTTGAAGAAAAATTTGTCTTTAAGATTGTCTTAAGTTTGATCCTGAAATACAGTTTTAATAAGATTCCATTATCTATTTTTAAAGATAAGATAAATTTATCTTTAATTTGATTGTAAGTAATTTTAAGATTCCATCGAGCCAATAAAAAATCTATATAGCATCGCGAGATTGTACTTAAGACGATCTTTAAAACATTTTACTATGAATAAGAAATAAACTGAGCGTGAAGCGCGTGAAAAGCGACGTCTGAATAATACAAAAAAAGAGAGAAAGGGGTTACACCATTTTTTTAATAACCAACGGAGGTAGCTCCCATTGTTATAATGAGACACAAAGGGAGTTGAGAAAAGAGCCGCTATAAAATAACCGAACAGCTGATATCGGTACTATACTTCGCACAGCGAGCATATGATGCACCTGTTACTCGTAAACATCAGTACGTATGAGTGAGAAAAGTAAAAGTCTTTTCAAAATTTTCTGTTTACTTCTTTCATTAAAACATTATTGACATTCGACATGCATTATAATTGATTCACTGAGTCTATTTATATTATTATAATATATATTAGTTGATAATATGTACTGGTTCTCGCACCAACATACATAGGTCAGCATGACGGGTTGCCCATTTGTGCAGGCGCGCATGGTCGTTCACAGCTGCGTAGGCTTCGGCACATTATAATCAGATAATCACTCACATATAATGGCCTAGTTTACATCGATCACTTGATATACGCGTATTAAATAGTAAATAACTAGTAAATTAGTTTGATTATTGGCTGATTAGTTCAAATATACTATTTGATACGCGTATCAAGAGATCGGTGTAAACTAGGCCAATGCGTCAAAGTGAATATAATAGCTGTGAATAACCGTGCGCGCCTGCACGAATGGGCAACCCGTCATACTGATCTGTATGTCCCTGCAACACCCGTACATTTAATAGACGTGTAGATTTAATGGACAAGTGTAATATTATTATTAAATTATTCACTCTAAATCAGCTAATTTAATTTATTAAATCAATTATTAAATCACAACCAACTATAGTTAGGTGAGACACAAAGGGAGTTGAGAAAAGAGTTGCTATAAGATAAATTTTTTGTGTGTTATACTATAGACTATAATTTGTATCTTTTTCTTATACATAATATGCATACATATCATTTTTTAAATTCTTTTATATTACACACATACACGCATTTCATCTTTTTCTTGTTTATACCCCACCGAAGAGTTTCCACCTTGAAGGGGTGGTGGGGCTTAGAGTCGCATGCAGCTTCATCCGCTCAGGGGTGCATCTGGATGCGACCAACTAAGAGAAACTCCCCAAGTCAAGGTGTAAGCGACCGTGCCGAAGACTGCGTCCCGCAGGGGGTGCTGCGTTGGCGAACGGTGCCTCCTGGTTACTCGATACTGAGCGAGATCCAGGAGTACGGTCCTCGATTCTCGCGATTCTGCTCATATCGCTCTTCCGCGGTACTCGCGGATCCTAAGTCAAGGTGTAAGCGACCGTGCCGAGGACTGCGTGGCGCAAAGGATGTTTGCGTCGTGAACGGTGCCTCCTGGGATATGGATGAGCAAGATCCAGGACTGTCCAGGAGTACATTGAGGGAAATCGCGCTTTATTACAAAGGTTTTAGGCCTCGAAAGGCGCCGATACAAGGTATTGATAGTTGAACAACATGCAGACAGTAACAGTCGCAATACTTTCAAAAAAATTTTCCTTCCGGACAAAACACGTCCGAATAACACAATCGAGCTCGTCAACCGACTTTTCGTGAGGATCCTAAGTCAAGGTGTAAGCGGACCGTGCCGAGGACTGCGTGGCGCAAAGGATGTTTGCGTCGTGAACGGTGCCTCCTGGATAATGGGCGAAATTCAGGAGTATAATAGCCAAGTCCCGGTATTCGCGGCTCTGCCGGGTGATATCGCATTACCGCGGTATACTCCACCTCCACCCCCACCCTCTATTGCGACAACGACGAAGAAGAGGAAGCAGGTGCCTGCGACCCCGGTGCCAGCAAAAGCGAAGCCACCGAAGAAGAGGGATAAGGTCTCCAGGACGGCGGCGGCGCGGCGCCAGGCTTGCTCTCAACCTGGCGGCTGGCCCATCGCTCGATGACGACGGGAGGGCGGGGACTGGGACAATTTTTTCATTATTATGTTTTTCTCATTCAGAAACTACTTGCAATGCACCCTGCCCCCGTCACACTACTCGCCCGGGTATACATTTCCGATCGCAGCCGTAGGCTGATGGTAGAAAACAAAACGTAGGGTCTTTTACGTCTATCGTCATGAAAAAGCTATCGATCGTGTTGATATGTGACGATACGAATGTAATTACGTATACGTAACTATACATTTACGGTTTACGGTTTTTATTGTTCGATCGCAATGAGAGCAGGGGACAACGACGTGCAGCTGCCAATCTCGGCGGGTAGCGCGCGCAGATAATTATTGTCCGCGTTGAGACAGTGCAGCTTGCGTAGCAAGCCGACCGAAGACGGCAAATACTCGATAAAGTTCTTAGTGATTATAAGCTCCTCTAAGTTCGACATCTGGCCGATGTCGTTCGGCAGTGCGTTCAGTTGATTGTCGTCAATCTTGAGGGTGACGATCGTGCGCAGGTAGCACAGCGTGTGTCGGGCAGCTCGCACATTTCGTTCGAGGAGAGATTCATGATCCCGATGTCGCGCCAGGCCACGTATCTCTATCGGCAGCGCGTGTATCGCATTCATCGTGCAGTCGAAGTGGTTCAAGCGTTAGAGCTGCTCGACATTCGCCGGGACACGCCTGATGTCGTTGCCGTGAATCCACAACTCCGTGAGATTGATGAGATCTCCCACAACTTCAGGCAGCTCCGTGAAGTCATTGTTGCCGATATCGAGCCTCTGCAAGTTCACTAAACGGCTCATGCTCTTAGGCAACGTCATCATGTTGTTCTCCCGCAGCTCGAGCGTCCTCAAGGCTGACAGTCGTCCAAAGTTAGCCGGCAGGCTTAACAATAGAGCCTACTCAGCCTACGTTTCGTTCTTTGCTATCAGCCTTAAGAAAGAGTCGAAGAGTAAATTTAACCGAAGGTTACAGTTAACTGACGTTGATGAAATTGGCCCTGAAAAATCGTGCGTAATCGTATTTGCATAAAATAATTCAGGTAGCAGAGTGACGTCAAATGACGTTTCTAACTGTCATAAACTTCCGTCATAAACTGCACAGTTCGCAGTTGATTGCCGACATTCTCTGGCCTTGGTTATTGCATATTCCTTAAAGTAAGTCTTTTTCATACTTGTATACTAGTATGTTGATTATTTGGGAGGTGTACCATCACTACGATCAGTGTAGCAAAAAGATTTGCAATCTTGAAGTCTCTAGCTACAACGTTGTTATTTTTTGAAATATTATTAGACATTCTTTCTTTGGTTCGGTCTTTCAGTTTCTCTTTTTTACACTGTAGCTCATGTAGTTTAATTGTCAGTTACATGAGCTACAGTGCAAGAAGGAGGAGCTGGAAGTTAGCTCGAACAGCTGCCTGGACCATCGCCTGGACACCCATCGTTGCCTACATCACCACTTAGATCGACGTGGTTTTGGCTCACGATCCCTTGGTCCACCGCCTAGTCGACGCCTAGCAAGCAGCAGCACAGCACACACAAGCGAGCAGCCGTGTACGTGTGCACGCACAAGCTGCTTACAGCATACGCGCTACGCTTGTGTGCGTAGTGCGTATGCTGTAAGCAGCTTGAATCTAGCATCTCGACCGTCTCGACTGCCGCTTGGATCGCCATTTGGTTCACTGCCTAATACTTGGTCCAGTATCAGGTCTATTACTTGGTCCACTACCTAGTCTGCTACGTGGACTACTGCTTGATTCGCTGACTGGCTCAACGTCTAAATCACCTTCTGAACCACCTGTTTGATCCACCTGGATCTCCGTTTGAATCTCTGCGACTTGATCTGCTATCCAAATTGCTAATTTGCAATCTGGACTACCGTCTAGCCTGTTGGCACAGCTGCTGTACATTGCGCAATGTATATCGTAGTATATAGGAATAGCTTAATTAAAGTTAGTACTCTTTTGAAAATAGCTTATTCTTTAATGAGATGTATGGCTCCGCGCGAGAGCGGTCGATTTGTATTAGATAGGTTTGATCCTCATCCGTGTATGTCTAGGTTTAGAAATTAATGATTGAATTGAAAATTGTAAGAGTAAAGTAGTCTGAAGTGAATTGTAACCCATTTCGGGAATACTTAAACTGATACATAGTTAATTTTTGACAATATTAAAAAAATAGCTCAATAATATTTTGTATTGTCACAATTAATTAAAAAATTATTAATCACAAAATTACTGTTTTACACTTTAATACTCTTTTTTGAAAATATCCATTCCTCATTCCTTACTTTAAATAAAATAAATTAGTAATTGCACATACTCGAAGTTATCTTTAAGAAAAATATGAAATTTACAATGGAACGTATAACTATATTTTTTGGTAACATTTTTTATGTAGAATATTCCTCGAAATTAATTTACATAAAAAAATAATTTCTATTTAAAATAAAGATGCAATTGTTATATTAATAAGACTTCATAGAAAGATAATACTTATTGAAACATTTCTGTGCTACTTTTTCTTATTTTTAATTTGTTCTTGAGAAATGGCTGCAATGGCCGATTGCTTTGGATCATTTTCTGTCTTATAATTGCCTAAAACAGTGCATGGATTTAGTTGTAATTTTCAGACGAATTCTCTCTTAATCACTCGCATTTTTCATTAACTTATTGGATAAACACAAACTAAAGCCTTGTGTCCACGATGTTAGAAATTTCTCCGAGATGTCGAACGGAGAAAAAATTGATCAATCGCATTGGTCAATTGGCCAAATTGTTTAAATGTGATTGGTGGACTTAAGACATGGTAAAGTAATTTTAATCACAATATAGTTTCATAACTATAATTTTAAATAATATATAATTATACGTAACGACTTTTTTCACGCAATAAATCATCTCATTCTAACGTGTATTACAAACATGAATCATATCTAAAAAAAAAGTCATAACTTAATATATTTGTAATTGGTAAGCCAAGAGCTTTAAATAAAGTGTTATAAGAATTTCGAAGACTACTGTGTTTTAAATATCTTATGTTCACAATTCAATATTTAAGACATTATCAATGATTATCATAAAATAAAAATTTATTATACACATAAAACGTACAAAAATGTCTTAATTTTAGATTAAATAACTTTTTAATTCTTAATGGCTATACACATTAATACGTTTATATCTAATAACTTTACTTGGCACTTGAAATATATTTACTGGAACAGACAAAACTGCTCTTTGTCATAAAGATATTTTAAACAGAAAATTTTGTATTCTAACTGTCCTCTTATCGTTTTATACATGTTAAAAAGCTGATTAATTTTAATTTTTGTTACTTGTATATCTCTAACATTAACGGTTAACAATTTGCGATATTAATATAAAGTGTTAAATAACTCTATTACAAGAGAAAAAGAAATGTTATTTGTTTACGTCAAACTTTAAAATGTTGAATGGCTAGATGTGCAAATGGCAATCAAATACTTTGAACACTTTGCTAAAATTATAAATATTTTTTTATAAATTATCAGCGTAGTCACTAGTATATTAGTCTTTTCTTATGTTTGAGGAATTCAATGAGCAAACTCACATCAAAGAGCACTGTCATCTAACGAATTATTTATATCGTTTCTATCGTCTTCATCTTCAATATCGCTTCTATCGTCTTCAATTTGCTCCTGCAATAAAACATAATATGTAAATTCTCTTATTATTAATAATGTGTAAAGTAGTAATGATTTCAATACAATATTAATACAATATTGTAGGCAATATTACCTGTAGTACTTCAACAAGTGTTCTCATCTCATCCAACATTTCCTTGTAAACATGATTTTCCTCTACTAACTTTTCAATCTGTTGTACGAGCTTTTTATTTTCTTCTAAGGCATCCACAAGTGCCGTTTGTTTTCTTTCAGCCAGAATTTGCCAATAGTTCTCACTAGGATTGTCTAAATCAGATAAAATACTTTGATAAAAGTTTATCCTTTTGACAAAATCCAGATTTAAAATAAATATCAAAAGAATATGAAAAGCAAAGAAAAAAAATGCTATTTTAGAGTATACCTGATGTTAAATCTTCTACTTCAATTTGTATCTTCTCTCGTGTAGTCTGGACAGCCTTATTCTTCTTAGTTACTTTTGTGCATTTTGAAGTATCTTTTTCCCCTGTATTTGTTACATCCCTAAGAAACACACCGTACTTACAATCTATACTTCTAACCCTTTCATAATGCGTTGTCATAATAAATGCTTGTTTGAAGATAACTTACTGTTTCGTTTTTGCCTCTTTCGATTTGCAAGATCTAAGAGTCCTGTCAGCACCAACTAAAGTGTCTTTATCGGTGGCTGCTGGCTGCAGTGTGTGCAAAGGTTTTCTGTCCTTGATCTGTCGACAAGGAAAAAAAAACAAGAATTATCACCCCTCTGTTTCATTCTTTCTCCTTTTGTATTCTGATTATGTAAACGGTCCTCTTTATTTGAAAAATAATATATATTTTATGTTTAAAATAAGCTTAGTTCCTCTTTTCGTTTTTGCCAGTATATACACTATTAACTTATATTCATTGGCTTTAGATTCAGTTAACGCATCACCAAAATTTCAAGCACATTTTAGGCTCTGTATGACGACGATAATTATACTAACTTTAGGAGCGACCGTGTTGACCAGTTCGTGGTGCATCGTGCTGCTTTCGAAGGAAATTCAGAGATGTATAAAATAACGTTAAAACAGGACCGACCAAACTGTGGCAAACCCCGCAAACCAGGCAAACACGTTGTCTTATTCATGCACAATTCTAAAAACGATCAACCGTTGATCACCGTTGATCTCGTCTCCACCAGTCCACCCTGTCCACCATGTGATCTCCACGTCTCCACATGTATTGATATGCGTGACCAGCTGTATGGATGTATATGTATGTATGTATACACAGCACGAAAATCGCGGAGCAAATCAAAATCCATTTCAATCCGCTTGAACGCGGAAAAACTCTTGCGCATGCGCAGCAACGGAAATCTTAAGGCGGACTTGGAACGTGACATGCCAGCGCCAACGTCAGCGTCGAGAGATGCCCGCAATTATCGTCATTTCGTCGCGCATTGCGAACCAACCCGTCGATGCGCCTACCGCCTTCGGCGCGCAATCTGTCGATTTGAAAATCGTAGTGCGAAGTGGAGGAGTACGTTAGACGGCAGAGGTTTGACGAGTCTCTCCATGAAAAATGAGATAACTTACGAAAGAGGAGAAGGATAATATTCAAGGAAAGCGCGTTTGAAGGAAATTGATCCAATAAATTGTAAAAGTTGAGAGATTCTTTGATCGAAAAAGAATTTAATCGTTACGTTCGACAAGTATATCCATATGACTGAAGACTAGGATAATCGGCCATATTAAACATAGATCAAGGTAATTTCCATCGTTATTTTCTGTTATTTATCTGTTATCCGGAACAATAAAGCACAATAAGTCGGCCTCGATACACCCAGGACGTGCCTGGATGTATTGAGGATAACCTTGACGTCTGTGCTATCTGACAAGACAATCCGGGTCAAGCATCGTTGTGTCGTATGGTTCCGGGGTGGGACCGAAGGCACTAAGTTTCGCTCAGCCGAGAGAACAAATTCCAAAAAAAAAAAAAAAAAGCTATCTGACAAGCAACACTAGGGAAGTGTCATACGGCGATTTTCCTGAAACTTGGCATACAAGCAGTAAATGGAAAATTATATTGGACACGTATATTGTTATATCGGCCCGAGAGCCGTTTGAAGGGTAGAAATCACCCTATCGATCTTGGGGGTAGGTTCGACTATTTTACGAATTATTTTTACGATTGTTGCGAAATCAGGTAACTAAGGGTTTTTGGGGTCGCTGATAATGAATCTGAAGTCCGTTTTTACGAATTCAAAATAATTCGTAAAATAGTCGAACCTACCCCCAAAATCGATAGGATGATTTCTACCCTTCAAACGGCTTTCGGCCCGATATAACAATATACGTCTCCAATAGTTTTCCATGTACTACTTGTATGCCAAGTTTCAGGAAAATCGCCGCATGACACTTCCCTAGTGTTACTGGTGAGTATGATTTTCATTTTTATTCTTTCAACATGATCTTTCATTTGCTATTTATGAATTTGCTTTTATTAATGAGACTTATTCTTCATCAGATGTTCTATCCAGTTGAACTGCTTTCCCGTCGACGAAGGGGCAAATTAGCTCCTTGTTGGCTCGCTGCAACGGTCAGCGAGAAAATATTTAAAAGACACTATAATCCTGGTGCTATAAAGAAGATAAATACTGTAGAAACTTGGTAAATTATTTTGTTTATGTACTTTTAATATTGAATATTTATGACATTTTTTTTTTCAATTTTGACACTTTTGTTTGCATTTTATATTACATCGCCAGCGAGCAAATTTTGGAAATAATGCAGTCGCGCAACAGATCAAATAGATTTAGCTTATATCTGTCATCACAATTAATGTACGGCATAACAAGAATTCATCGTTTACAAGTTGTAAATTATCAGAGTAAGTTTAATTCTATATATATTTATTAATGATATCATCTATGCCAATTTATGTAATCTCATTATTTTTCAGAGGAAGTTTTTGAAATGCAACAAAAATTTGACTCTGGCGGCGGCCGTGGCGGCAGAGTGTTGGAGAATGAAGAGGATGAGTATGACGCAGTTCAGGATCTTGAATTGCGTGCAATAGATGTGCCTATTTCCACTCAAAACTTTCCTAACGCTCAATTAGAAATAGACTTACATTTACTTCCGGACGAAGAGTTTGATGAAAGACTACGGACAATTGTGAGTGAAGATCTCGTACGGTTTACTGCAAGCTTATCAATAAATTTTGTATTTTTTAACTCTTATTCTCAAATGTTAAACCCTGTAATATGATATATAACATCCTTGAGTTTCCGAACTTTTGATTCTTTAATTGTAAACCTTATTTTTAAATATTGAAAATTTTTTCATTCACACACAGATGAAAGATGCAGCATGTTGTGATTTTGGTGCTTTAAATGACGAGGAGTTGGACTTTATGCTTAAACATGATTTCAATCTCGCACTGTAAGTTTCCGATTTTTATATTTTTTTGTAGCGTGTTTTTAATTGTAATTTAACAAAAGTTCACAAAATGACAATAGTTTATGCAATCATTTGATTTTTTTTCGTTTTTATATCATTAGCTCAAAATAAATTCATGACTTTTTTAACAAAGAATAATATATTTTACTATTAATGGTTTTAGTGACCAGATGCATGAACTACAGACAGCAGAGGAAAGATCAGCATTCTCAAAGAAGACAGCTGATGATGTAACAATAGAAGGTAAGTGGATCAATGGGGTATTTTTTAAATATAATACATAGACTATTATATTATGTTTAAATTAAATTAATTAATAAAATCATTTAATGAATAGAGATCCAAGAAAAACAGTTATCTCAGGAAACCCGTGGTCCAGTACTTGTGGATATATCGGAAAGAAAGAAATCCAAAGAGGGACTGTTATTAACTCCACAAAAACGACAGCCACATCAAATGCAGGTGGAAACGCCTACGAAGAGAAGACGTGTAAGTTTGTCTATAACTGATAATGATTATCGTTTGGATATAATGTGAATATTTTAACTTCATAAAGTAGAAGACAAATGAGAATACATAGGCCGATATTCATAATTTTTCATAGGGCAAAGAATTGTACATAAAAAATCACTTAATTATTCGGACAAGCAAGATCTGACCAGTCCTGGCCGATTACGGCGTTTTTCCCTTTGTTCATAATTTGTTTTTATATTTGAGACAGTCTTAAGTACAATTTTAAAGTCAATCTGAGAACCCTATTAGCATCTTAAGACATTACTTAAGATTGTTTTGATATAAGAACGGACTATGAATACGAGCCATAATGACCAAAAAGTTTTGAAAAAATTAAAATTTATTTTCTTCTTTTTTTTCTTTAGAAAAATTATTTTTTGCTTTTTATTTATATTTAATTTATATTTTATTTTTACTTCTAATTCTTTCTATATATTACTTCTCAGTTATACTTTGACACTGCATCGGCGACTGATGTACCCCCTGTAGAAGATGTGGCAGTACCTCCTGCACCTGTAGAAGATGTGGCAGTACCTCCTGTACCTGTAGAAGATGTGGCAGTACCTCCTGCACCTGTAGAAGATGTGGTAGTACCGACTGAATTGCCTAGAGAAGAAACGAGAATGTTAGTTCTTCCACAGCAAGAGGAAACTAACATGGAATTGGAATCATTAGATTCAAGCTACTTTGTGATCCGCAGTCGTTCGAAGAAAAGCAAAATTATTGATAAAAAAACAGAGTTAAGTGACAGTCAGCTTAAGAAATGGCGTCAGAATGTAAAAATTCATTGCGAGGTGGGTTCCTACATTATATAAGCTTACAGAAGATGTATATAAACTTACAAAGAAGTTCAAAAAGCGAGATTAATTTCAAACAAGTCTTAAAGGTTCTGACTAAATTTTTTGATTATCTTCAGAAATTGGATAAACCATTAACAAAAAAATTATCGCTGACACCGGCGATAAATCTTTTCAACCAACCTTCGGACTCACCTAGGCGATGGAACAAAAGTTTACGCAGTCGCTTTGCTTCTCGCATCACTGGGCCATTCAAGAGTGTAAATGAAGATGTTGCACTTGCTGAATTTACGCAATGTAGGTATATATTTAGACATTTATTAAATATTCACATTGATGCATATATAACTGTGAATAAATTTATATTTATAGTTTTTGAACAAATGCGTGTAGAAGAGACAGTTAGCAAGCTAGATCTTCCTACAGAAGAAGTGAGTACATTCCAAAAGACGGAAATGGCCATTGCTGCCGAACCCGGAGACAGTGTTGCAAACGTCTTAACAATGACAAATATAATTCCCGAAACTATGGACGTATCAATGGTACCATTACCGAAAGAGGTACCGGAAGCGATTGTCTTAGAAGAAGGCACTAGGTAAGTCTATTTTATCATGAAGAACTTATGATATTTACATTCAAGAAGTTATTTAACTAAAAATTTAATTATTAAGGATTATTCAGTTTTATACTCAGTCTTTCAACTGTTGCGATATTTCCTCAATTTCTCAATATCATTAAATGATATTATTTCAGCATCGTTGAACAGGGGCCGGATCAGGAAAGAATGAATATAAGTAATGATGAATGCTTTGAAGATATAGACATTTTATTAGAAAGACAGCGACAGTCTCCGAAAACGGCGAAACAAATTCCAGTACCTTCTACCAGGTATTTTAAATTTTTCTTTTATTGTTAAGTAAAGAGTTGGACATATAACAATATTCTAAGTGTATATTTAAGTTTCTATAAACGAATGTTGACAAAACATAGGATTCATTAATCGAAAGCTTGAGGAAAAAACAACACTTTTATTGCTTTGTTGTAACCCAACAATTTTGCATAGTTCTTTCCTACGAAACTTAGCATGTTTTGTTATATCAAGTCTACCATTTATCAAAGAATTATTTGATGTATGATAAAAATATTGTTTTTACAGCAGTTCAAGCGGATACTCGCAACCTGCACTGACAAGCCAAGAGATTTTGGTTCTATTAGAAGTTTTCTGGCGTGACAAGGATACTGTCAAATTCAGTGAACTTATTCCACCGGAAACGTACACGAGAGAGGATGCTGCTACTGCTTTTGAAATACTTCTTGGTAAGTGTTACTACATTCGCAAAAAAGGGTAAATTTTACCTTACTTTTTCTTTAATTCTAATCAACCTAATATTATACGACTCGTTTTTCACCTGTGTGAAGTTAGCTTCCTAACATTTAAAAAATAATAATTTGCACATGTATGCACAATTCAAATTTTTGTTTGGACACTAATTCAAACGGTATTAACAAAAGAATTTGAATGAGAGCAATCTTACATTAGCTTAGCCCTTCACCTACGAGAAAATTGAATTGAAATAGTCTTTAACTTTTGTTTGCACATTCACATACAATTCGATTCAATTGAAATGTATGTGAATATGCAAACGATGAGTCATCGAATGCTATAGAAAGATTTTTTTTTTTAATGTTAAGGGATCAACTTCACATAGGTTCGTTACCCATTTTTCTAATGTATTATTCTCGTTCACAGACTTATATGCACAAGATAAACTCATTTTGCAACAGACTGACTATTCTAAACCTTTATGGATTTCCAAATACCGGGATTAATTTATTATACATATATATATATGTTAAGAATGTTCGTTTATAATTTACATTAATGCTATAACTTTGCATCGAAAAACAATTATTGTTATTATATTATTATGTTATTTATGTTATGTCGGATCATCGTTCTTTCACCAATATTAACATTGAAATTAACGAAAAGTAAAATGGGATAAGTTAAGGGAAAACATAGAATAAATTAAACTAACGAGTTTTAATATTATTTATTATTATAAAAAAGGAATTTATACCTTTTTTTTTTTTTCTAATAAGAGAATTATCTTGACATGAATGCAAGCTTATGATAATTATTGATTGTTTAGTTGACATGTATTTCGTTCAGAATGCCGCTGTATTGTTTTTATACCGCATCTCTTTTTGAATCCGTTCTCGATAGCACGATCTCGGCATTGGCTGACGAGCGCATTATCGTTATTTGTTTCTGTACGGTATTACGTTATCATTTATGATCGCGAGAGCTCGACGTGATTCCACGATTCGCGGGATCCTCCATGAATGACGGTGAGAAACGATGATAAGACAAAATCGAATGGCTCGCGAATTAGTGCAATGTAAGCGATTATTGAATTTTTGGAAATGAAACTTTATATGAGCTCAATATCCGCGCCGTCCTCTTTTCCATAGTTTATACGAGGTTTGTCTATATATAATGGGTTAATGGAAACGACGCCTTCCGACTTTCGCATCGCGCTTAATCGGCTGACAATAAATCACAAGCAATGCGCACTTATTTTTAAATTTTTCGCCATTATCGTATATGTTTTGTATTAGAAGATCATACGATCGGTCGACTTTTGCATTATTATATAATCGTAAATCAATAGGATTGCGCGCCATACTGTAATTATTGCTGCAATTAAATACAGACGATAAATTTGTAGGAATGCGAAACAAACGTTGCGTTAACGACAGATTTAGTTGCGTCGAAATATCCCGGGCGGTTTAATGCTCCAGCGTTACGACAATGTTGCAATGCAATAACTAATTGGAGAATTGGGGGTAACTCGACGGGAGATATCATAAAACATATGTTAGATTATTATAAATTATTTATATATTTTTTATAAGTACTGCAAATTATTATTATTTAATAGTTTTAATACGTTATGTTAAAACTTCTAACGTTTTAATGAAATGGATAAATGGATAAATAAGTTTTTACTTACAAATATATATATATTTATATACTATTTGTTCTTTTATCCGTTTTACAAATCGTTATTTTTGCTAGAAAAATTACGATATTTTAATAAGAATCAAAAAGATGAGATGTTTCGTTCTATATATGTTCAAAAGATTATAAATATTTGTATAGGTATTTATTTACGTAAGAATTGAAGTCAGCAATCCTACTGCAAATTATTATTATTTAATATACTTTATGTTAAAACTTTTAACGTTAATGAAAATGGATAAAGATTTAATACACGATATGTGTTATATGATATATCATAAGTTCATACTTGCAAATATGTATTTGCATATTATGTGTTCTTTTCGCTTACTTTGAGCGCTGTGAAAATTAAAATAATATAATAAATTACATTTTGCATTTAATTATATTTTGTAGCTTTATTTATTTATCTTGTAACTTTTATTTAACCTGGTTCTGTTCGCAGTAATGATTTAATTTAATAATCAGATACTAAGAAATTAACCGGTTGAAGAGACATTGTGAAAATCGCATTGAAGGATTATTTTATGAATCAGAGAGCATATAGAGTTTGAGTTGATAGGTATAAGAATGTTAAAAATATTGGCAATTTGAGGGATTAATGCCCGATTTCACCAACGTCGTTTAACTTGAACCTTAAAGTTCAATTCACTCTTTGTCTTCAAGAGTGAATTAAACTAAGGTTTAAATTAAACGACTTTGGTGAAATCGGGCATAAATAATTGAATGGAATAAAATTGATTTTTAACAGTTGAATATCTGTCTTGATAGCTCTTAAGAATATGGATATAGTTTAGAGTGTATTATTTACGAATCAGTATTTACGCTGTTATCCTTTATAGAAATTTAATACTGTAAGTGATTTTTTGGCTAGTGATTAATTATTTAAAAGCACTATTAAAAACACTATTAACAGTGCTTTTAATAGTGTTTTTAAGTGATTAATTACTAGCCAAAAAATCACTTACAGTATTAAATTTCTATAAGGGATACATATAAAGAAAATACTCGCGACCGAGTATATACAATAGATATAAAGGAAATAGCTGCCTGATATATTCTCCTTTTTCTATCTAACTAGACTCCGGAAAATTACGTGGAGTATGATGACGTACATGACTCCGTGTAATTGCGGATGATGAGAAACTGAAAGATCTTGGATTCGTTTCCGGCGTTCATCCCGCATATTCCTCGTTTTAAGAAGAAGTTTTCGCCGATGAAAGGGAAGAGAGTGTTTAAAGACTAAAAAGAAGTATCATTATATACATATGCATATATATATATTGTTATATTTAATCTCCATTTAAAACAGAGGAAGAGATCCCGCCACTGTTTGTAGAGAAGATGCCGGGTCTGCCGGGACCAATCAGCCATTACTCCGGTCGCGCTCTCTTTTGCACCTTTATTTCAGACATGACAGTTTGGATACGTGCAGTTCAGGGTGGTTCAGGTTAGGTTCAGGTTCAGGGTGAAGGGGGTGAAGCGTTTTTGCACAACGCGCCGTGTGGCATTGTTTGTTTATTTGCTCCGAATAACTGAATTAATAACTGAAATAAACAAATCGCGTTAAAATGGCGGAGGAAGTGCTGAGGGAGTTGGAAGCCGCGGCGCAAATCGTTCTGGTGAGTACCGTCCCGAATTCTCTTTCGCCACGCGAAATAGATTGTCACGAAACTGCGCGAAACCCAAGCATGATCGGTATACGGCGAAAACAATTCGGATACCGCTCGCGGATTCCTGTGAGACTTACCGCGCGTTAGCGCGCGTAGAGCCAAAAAGTTTATCTGCCAGGAAACGTCGCGTCTTTTATCCTGTCCGCGAACTCTTTTGCATCCGTAGGATCCCGTTTTGGGGTTAAGATCCGCGTCACGACCTATTTAAGGTATTTCTTGAGATTCGGCGAAGTCCTGCGGACATTCGCGCGCGCGCACGCATGGATCTCGCGAAAAATTGTGATTTGAGAAATTCTTTAATGCGGGACAGGCGATTCCCACGAACGCACGTGCCGTACGAGGCAAAACAAAACAAAACTGTCTCGAGTGTATTGCAATACTCCGTGTGTTATGTAATTTCTTGTGTTTACTGCTTCAAGGAAGCGTGCTTCGTTCCACGATAGAGAAACTTGTCAACCGAAGCGACTCAAGCGACTGTGTGATTCCCAGAAGGCAAAATGTTGGCAAGTTTGCCAGCAGATTTCGAGTGGAATATTGCTGCAGATTATCAACTGCGTTCTCACATTAAAATCACGCTCTGTTATCGATATTGTAGGCAGAATGCCAGCAGAGCTTAACGTAGACATACTTATTCTCCTTAAGATTGGCACTCGATTCCCCAACCAAGCTCGCTACAGCCACTGATAATCCTTTGTCGTATAGAATTTGAATACAAATGTTGGATGTTGCTACACTGATGAGTGGGTTTTACTCTGTGGTGGTATATTTTATACCCCAGTCTTACAAGTCTATGTAATACACTTACAGAGTAAAACTTTTTTACTGTTACTGAAGTGTATTTTACACTCCATGCAAATAATCTAGGGTTAATAGTCAGTTTGATTTTTGCTTATTTAAGCATCCTTAGGTCTCCATTGACGAAAAAAATCGCTGATTTTACATGAATACAGATATAGAAATATTAAACTTCAGATTTGCCAGACACAAAGAAAATATCCTGTTTATATGTTCTGAGTTGTTTCTACATGTTTGAAAACGTAGAACGTTGATAAGTGATTTTGTATTCGCGTTGCTTTCAGGCGCCACCTAATTTGATCTCATCGGAGCAGCGTCAATCTGCGGAAGCTGTGTTCCTAAATTTCCGTAAAACAAAGTCACCGTATCAACTGTGTCAACAAATTTTAGAATTGAGCTCTGTGGACTACATATTGTTTGAAACGGCCGGTTTGATAAAGACAGCTCTGATACAAGAGTGGACCACTCTGGAAAAATCTGACGTCTCTTCATTAAGACAATATTTGTTGCACTATGTTATAAGCAAACCTACGTTAGCGCCATATGTCAGGACGAGGATACTTCAAGTTTTTGCAATAATAGTTAAGAGAGGTAGCGTGGATGACTTTGGAATAGAGAGAAGTCGAATAATGAGTGAAATAGAAAATTTAATTAAGAGTGGGAACTTACCAAATGTAAGTATACATTGATATAGGTATATTGATTTTTCGCATGGCACGCAAAGGAGAAAAGAAAGAGGAAAGAAAGACTATTTCTTTATTTACAGCAAATTTTGGGATGCAATATTTTATCTGCGATATTGCAAGAATACGCAACGACTGCGAAATCATCCGATATCGGTCTGACATGGGAAGTACATTTTAAGGCGAAGAAGCATTTTGAGCTAAGCGATATGAAAAGAATTTTCAAGTTTTGTATCGAGGTATTTGGTGAATTGATCAAGAAGGATTTTGACGAATCGACGTTGCCCCTCGTGAAGTCCTTGCTTTCCATGGTGGAGAGCATACTCGTTTGGCCATTTATTGAAGTAAATTATATCCTTTTTTATAATTACATTTGGGATCAATGTATATTGATGCAAAAATATATATTAATTGAAAGATAAACTAAAGAGATAAAGAAAGAAATTGGACATTGCAGCTTGTATTCAATTCATATTTCACATTTAGTATTAAATGTATCAATAATGATGTATTAACTTGAATACTACATGTGGGAAATGATTATGAAGATAGATATGGATATAAATATATAACAGAGATTCATATTTAGTATTCACATTTGGTATTAAGCAGGGCATAATTGATATATTCCTTTGAATATTAAATGTGGATAATTATGGAGATAGATATGGATATACAGGATCTAACAGAGATAGATTTTTATATAGAGCTATATCACAGTTGGTTATATATACCTTAACTCCAGTGCACTACCTAAAAAATTACTACTTAAGAGCATGTGTGAGGTTTATGAATCCGGGAATAATCCACCATTGAGGTTGAACGTACAGTGGCAAGACGTAATACTAGATGCAGCAGTATTAGATTTATTTTTTACACTGTATTGGAAAGTACGTAGCAATCCGCAGCTAGCACACCATGCTATGAACTGTCTGATACAACTAGCGAGCTTACATGGTAGAATCCTGGGTGTGGAAGAAGTAAAAGTGCAATACTTGACAAATTACATGCAGAGATTCTTGAAGCTTGTGTTAAGTATTGAGATTGGCGATCAAGAGGCGAATGGAATTACCAACATTATAAGAAAGATTAATTATTTCTTTCAAAGCTCATTGAAGAGTCTTCCTGAGGACTTGTACAAGCCATTTTTGGAACAATTGACAAGATTAACATGCTTATTTATAGAATGTGCTGCACAAGAAGAATCGGTAATTATTGCATCTATTTCAGTAAAATTTGCGTTTAAATTTCGGTTCAGAAGTTTATTTATGAAATTACAACCCGTGAATATTAATGTGGATATTAGAACAAAAAAACTTAATGTTTTGTCATCTTTACAGATACGCGCTGATGATTGCTTATATATGGAAGCTATGGAACATATGTTCGAAGTATGGTCGTGTATGTTGTATTCAGCGTTCGAATTTCCATCAGACTTTTGTAAGCAGAGCTCTATTCAGATATTTAATACGTATCTTCGATGTCACTTATCATCTCCGGAAGGTGTGAGAAATGCCGGTGGGAAAAGTCTCAGCGAGGAAGTAGCAGATGTAGAGGACGATGACAAAGTTAAATTTAAGGAGCAATTACAAATAGTTGGTAAATAGAAGTACAGTCGATCCTATCAAAATGTATTTTATTACGCGGATCGATAATAGTAACAAACGTTTGTTATAAACTCTAGGAAACTTTGGTAGACAAGTACCAGATCATTCTTTACCTCTATTAGCGCAATTACTCGAAGATCGAATACATAAATTACGCGATAATCTGAACAATATGGTCGGACAAAATGAATCGTCGTCTCGACCTGCCTCTATGGACGAGTTATACGAGGATTTGCATTGGCTTATTTTAATAACGGGACACGTTCTTTGCATGGAATCGGAGGGTGAAACCGCATTAGTACCTTTGGAAATTACGCGATGCAGCATGAAACAGGTTTGTAAAAATTTACTGCAACTTTTACATTTTCGTAAACCAAGTACTAAATCTCTTTTGTACGTGTGCTTTTAGTCCCGAGAGGGAAATGTTGATGTAAACCGGACATTGGAGTTTTTAGTGTCTTCGCAAAATGTTCAGTCGGATATAAGCAGCCCCACGGACTCGATCGATCGAGTTATTCGATTGATCACAGGCGTTTTTCGCTTGTGCACCATTGAAAAGACTGCTATATCGATACACTTGGAGAATATACTTAGTCCCGAATTGAGCAGCACAATAATATGGTTTTTACACAGATGGTCAGAGATCTATCTTTTGCCAACCGAGACCTATTATTCCGAGTTGAGCACCACGCTTTTACATGCTTTTGGCGAGGATAGTCCCGGCGCATTATGGTCAATGAATTTTCTTCTGGACAAAATAATTTGCAACATCAACGCTTTTAAAAGCGAGCCGGCGCTAGTAGACGAAACTATAAAATTATTAATATCTCTTGTTAATTCGCGAACGAGGTAAATATAATTTATACACAAAATTTGTCTGCAGTCATATTAATAATTTGTTTAGGGACAACGGTATTTTTTCCGTACAAATTAATGATTATCAAATTAAGTTTTAAATAGAACTTGACTAGAATGAAAAATCTTCCAGATAGAATCCACGGATTATGGATTTCGCTAAGATTTTTACTGGATGATATTTTATGAAAAAGATATGGGGCATTTGTTTTCTGGTAGGTGATTATATATATCCGCTTAAATTCTCAAATTTTAATACTCTCTTAAAATTTATTTATGATTAACTTAAAAAGAAAACTGATAATTTTATCTGTATAGATAAAATTCAACTTTATGAAAGCTTTTCAATATTTAATGTATGATCGCGTCGTGAATTGGGAGTTTTACTTGTGGCGATGGAAAAGCACTTCCCTTTAATCAATGACATATTAGTCTCGTGAAGTTTAGTACAAATTTTATGAATACTTTGTATTTTATGTATCGCGTATTTAAAAAGGAATTTAATGTGTTATATCTGAGAATATATATACTTTCATATTAACCTGTTTGGACATCGAAGATTTTCTTTAATAGATTACTTATTCTGTGCCTTCCAGCTTTGAAAGGGGTTATCATAATCTATTATCTCGCTCTTCACCCACATCTAAATCTTTCTATGATTTTCTAATCTTTGTCTTTATTTTCAAAATCATTTATTTTGCTTTCAACGTCCCACTCTATTTTGATTTGATAAACAATTCAGAAAAGTAAATATGCGTGCCCTAGACAAATTATCGTGTATTTTAATGAATATATTACGTTTACGATTGCTTTAACAAAGTAAATGTCTTTTGCTCTTTTGTAATTCTTATTCCTTTGTGATTTAATTATATTTGCATAAAGTACTATGTACTACATGCTACAGCTTGCATAAAAGAATATAAAAGCATTTGTTGCATATATTACAAGATTTAACGCGTTAAAGTAATCGTGATAACATTTTCATTGAAATGATTTAAGATCTAAGTATATTAATTTTTCAGAGCCTCCTGCTTGTCGAAGTCTGAGCAGTTCACTTATATCATTGAATTGGCTATGAAAGAGCAGTATAACTTCCCGCAGATTATCAAGAGAGGTTTAATGTGCGCGGTGGTTCATGCCGGTAGCGTGGTACAAAATACTGAACGATCCTATTGGTCACGAACGCTAGAATGCTTACAGAATAGATACACGCAATTAACTTCTAGTGAAAATTTCATGTCGTCTTACCATGAAGAACGATTTAAAGTTCAAATCATAGATATACTAGAATCCTGTATAGGTAATGCATTAAATATTTATTTAAACCTTTGTGATCAACGATGCGCGTGTATTTTGTCCGACTTAAAATAAAACTTCGCGTGCATAATCGTCATTTTATTTAAATAGGTGTGGTGCAAGGTGCTGAGAGTCCGATAGTAACGCCCGTGTATCAACATACTTTTCCTATATTAGCCGGACTTCCAAAAATATTATCCTTGTATCATAATTATCAAGATATAGTGCAGCTGATATTAGAGCTATTCAGTGAATATACAAAAATTTTATTCTTTTTATCGGAGGTAAGTATCATTATTATTTATATAGAGCTATCGCAGTTAATGCCTGGCATTTTGATGGTAATCTTAATTTCAACGTATTATTTTATTGAATAGGTTGATTGTATACGTGTCTATCGAACTTGTGTGCAAGCGATGGAAACGTATGCTCGCTGCAATAGTCATCGGCTTACTGTAGACTCGACCGCGGAGGAGGACAGTTTTCAGGATATTCTGTTACTCATGCGATTATTAACTAATTTATTAATTAAAGACCTATTTAATTTAAACCACGAGGTAAGCCAGCCATTCAGCCAAGGTGCGTCTGCACAACCGGTCACCGAGCTTATTCCATCTACCGATGTTTTCTTGTACGGCTTAAATATAATCATGCCTATGATGACAATGGATTTGTTAAAATTTCCGTCGCTTTGTTTACAGTAAGTAATTATATTTTAGTAATACAACATAAACAGAAAAGAGATATTTACTTTCAACAATATATTAAAATAAATTATATTGAAATTAATTACAGTAAAATAAGTTATGTATATAATTTGAGAATTTAAAATTTTTGTTGATGTTAAATATATTTGAAGAAATTTTTGAATTAGTTCACATTTATTATAACATTTTTATCATCACTATGTATGCATATATTTAAATATTTGCTATTTTACAGGTATTTCAAGATGATAGCATTTGTATGTGATCTATGTCCTGAGAAAGTTTGCGAGCTACCTGTTAAATTGCTGCAGCAGCTTTTAGCGTCAGTAGAATTAGGTTTATATTCATTTGGCAATGAAGTAGCTAGCCTTTGCTGTGATACAATCCAAGCCTTGACCAAGCACATTCACAAAGAGGTTACGCAAGGACGGCGGCGCAAAGACATAATGGCACCCTTTTTGAACGTAAGTTTTCACAAGCGATAGCTTATGAGCATATAAACGTGCCTTTTAGGATACAGCAATTTTTGAAATATTGAATTTTTCCTTTCAGTTGCTGATAAGTCTCATTCTGTCACATCAAATGGATTCAGATCTGATCTCGAACGCCAGTACACCTCTTTACCATCTCATATATTGCTATCAAGAACAATATCAGCAACTTGTACAGAATATTGTATCCAGTCAAACGGATCCACAAGTAGCACAAAGATTAGCGAATGCGTTCACCGAGCTAACGACGGATATAGACTTCAGTATGGACTTGAATAACCGTCCTCAGAGATTGAAGTTCAAAAGTAATTTCGATAAATTTGTCGTGAACGTACAAGGATTTTTAATGGTTAAGTAAAATAGAAATTAAAATGTAAATAAACAAAAATAAAAGATTTATTTAAACAATACACGCGTGGATTTAGATATCGTTAGATCTCGTTTAAATCTATTGTTATCGTTTAGATTTTGAGAAGTAAAAAGGGGACTTAAGCATATAAGCTTTTTATTGACCGATTTATTACACGTTACCACTTACAGTGAGCCTAGCGAAATATTCGAGTAACCATAATATAATATTTATAATAAATACTAGTTACAGCATCGATGCACGTTTCCGATAGCAAACGGTCAAACGAAAACGTTTCGTAACGGATGTCCAGTTACCTTACAAACAAACACACGAGAACTTATATACTTGGTACAGATCGTCGTTAGCCTCCCCGTGGATCGCCTCAATGATCCTCAATGTTTCACAAAGGAATGCTTATTAAAGTAACATTAAATTTATTTATATATTTATATAATTTATATTTTGTATTATGTATATATGTATATGTATATATATATATATATATATATATATATATATATATATATATATAT